TTTCCCCAAATCGTGCAGCCCTACTTATATGTAGCTGTGTAGCCGCTGCTGTGACACTATACAAACACTTCCGGTTTGAATACTTCCGCGCGCTTGCGGTGTGAAACGACCATAAGCCTAGAACTGCTTTTCTGACGGACTAATATTAATGACAAATAGTGATGCACCGATACTGATACCAGTACTCGGGTGTTGGTCCAATACTTTGCTCATGTTGGGTACTCGTAAAAGTACCCCGATACAACCGCATAGCCGTGGCGAGATGAAAACATCTCGTCTCAAGTCATGTGACTAAAACCAACCGATCAGCTTCGGCCTTTCCGTATCATCGAAAGCTCGGCCGAACAGCTGATCATAGCTGTACAGGGTGGCTTTTTATTTCACATCTCCATAAATATATCTAGTAGTAAAGCTAATGCAAGGGCTAGAAATCAATTAATTCTTTGATACTTCCTCGTCCTTATGGAGAGTGCTTTCCACAAGCGCTTGCTCTCCCGTGGCATCTGTCATTGCTATGCAACCATGAACAGTGGCGCGCCTGGAAAAACAAGTGTCGCTTCTGTTATGAGTGGGCTTGCCGCGCGCCTACATTTGCAATAACGAATTTGCAGGCGCAAAAAACGCGCTGTGAACGGCCCCTTATGGCAACGTGGAATTTGTCTAATCGAAAATATTTCCATATGTGGCTCTTTCATCCTTGTCAGCAAGTGGATTCAGAGCCACCGCATTAGCAGCGCCAGCCGGTCGCCATGTGGCAGTGTTTTTAGGAGTGTAAGTGAATGTCGTGATTTATTACTGATCATGTGAAGATTTTGCAGCGGCGCTGAATACATTGTAGGGGAAAAACTGAGTTGGTATATTTTAAGAGAATACAAGTTGTCTTGGGTCCATTCAGCAAAAGCATTTATTTGAAATTACCTGAGGCTATTAGACTGACCCAGATCTGAGGCACTTGGCAAAGTTTTGGACCTGTGAAGACCTCTAGTTGATACTTTATTTTTCTTTCTTTTTTTTTTAACCTATCATCCTCTTGCCCAAAACAGGAGCTGTTCCCTGCCAACAAGCGTAGCTGCGAACACTTCTCAAAATATTTCACCGACGCTGGGCTGAAGGAACTCTCGGACTTCGCTCGCAACCAGCAGTCCATTGGAGCGCGCAAAGAGCTTCAGAAAGAACTGCAAGAGCTGATGTCCCGTGGCGAGACCCTCAAAGACGTGAGTTTGTCTTGTCAACAGCTGGGCTACTTTCCCACTAAAAATAGGCATCCAAATATTATGATTCATTTAAAATATTAAAGATTTTGATTAACATTATCATCCATATTTTGGCTATGCAGGTTTATTGTTGCTGTATTCAGCTAATGTGTTTTTGTTCCCCAGATCATTGCCTACGTTCGTGAGGAGATGAAGAAAACGAGCATCTCTGAGCAGACAATGATTGGTATTGTGTGGACCAGTGTCATGAGCGCCGTCGAGTGGAATAAAAAGGAGGAGCTCGTCACAGAGCAAGCCATCAAACACTTGAAGGTATCTACATCGCTCATGGAAGCGACATTACTTCCTTTTATTGAATTTTATCAGTAGTAATATTTTCTGCTAACTTGTTTTGCAGCAATACAGCCCACTGCTGAAGGCCTTCACCTCCCAAGGCCTGTCTGAGCTCACCCTCCTGCTGAAGATCCAGGAGTACTGCTACGACAATATCCACTTCATGAAGGCCTTCCAGAAGATCGTGGTGCTTCTTTACAAAGGTGTGTGTTCTTTACTTAATCCTTTCAAAACCATGCACTTAAGCCAAAGGCTTGCGATACTATGGTAATTTTGTACAAAGATGTTACTTGGCTGGTGGAATACAGAGGTTATATCTGTGTTTTGAAGCTTTTCTTGTTTTGACTGCCTGTAGCTGATGTTTTGAGCGAGGAGGTTATTCTGAAGTGGTACACAGAAGCCCATGTGGCCAAAGGAAAGAGTGTCTTCCTGGAGCAGATGAAGAAGTTTGTAGAATGGCTGAAAAATGCTGAGGAGGGTAAGCACTAAGCAGTGGTGGTTTTTCTTTTCTTCTTTTCCGTCTCTGCCTAAAATGACTCTTGTTAATTTTTTGCCCTTTTTTTTTTCTTCCCAGAATCTGAATCTGAGGAAGAGGAGGCAGACTAAAACACAATGTCAGCAGAATGTTTTGTTACAGAAGTGCTCGTCTTTCTAATTTTTTTTTCTTTTGGCCTTTTTTTTTCCTTTTTTTTATTCTACCTCCTGTTTTTCAAACCATAACATTTAGATGTCATTTAAGGGCTTTATAACAAATGGTTAATTTTAACATGTTTTTGTAATATAAAGGTTTACACTTAAAATAGCACAAAAGTTGTGGTCAACCTTTGTAATTATTTACTCACTCAAGGAACTTTTAAGTGTCAATACACTTTGGACATCTTAAATTATTGTTAAAATGATTCCTTTATGAATTGACATTCCATTGATTTAGATCAGGCTGCCTTGTTTGGTTTTAAGATGCCCTTTTCTATATGGTATTGATGCCTTCATGCCCCGTCATGATCAGTGTCCACATAGGGAAGAACAGTCAGCTTGTCTCATTGTGATGTTATTGCCAAAGGGTTAAGTCCTTCTTCCATAACATCCATTAGTATTCTGTTCCCTGCCTATGAAACTGTACAGCGCTGAAAACAAATAGCTGATCACCCTTTAAAGACCCTTAAATGACTCCCAACCACTTCTATGATGTATCTTTATCTTATTTGTCACCAATTTCTTTAAACTGAATAACTAATTGACTTTTTTTAAGAAATAAAGACCTAGAAGTATATATGCTTTGTGTGTGGTTCTTGCCTATTCTTAACATGCTGGTTTTTGAATAATTGCAAAATCAAATTGAGTCCACTATTTTAAAGGGGTGTGCAATATGTCTTTCACCAGAGGGCACCGCAAAACCCAGGAAGAACCACATTCAGAACATGTTTTTCAAAAATAATTTATTGGTTGAAAAAGTCACAAGAACAGACTGTTTTTTTTGTACAAAAATATTTGATAATTAAATAGCAGCTTGTTTGATGTTTGGCATGTGCAACGGACCACTTTTAGAAGAGAAGACAATTCAAGTATTAGAATGACAGGATAGTTTTGAAACCGTTTTAGAAGTAGGCCATATTGATATAATGCACTTTGACCTTCATTTTGGTGGGGAAAAATACAATTACAAATGACTTACAAAAGCCATGTCATAGTATTTCCAGTACAATATGTGGTACTTTCATTGCACTTTTTTTTTGGTTGCACATCTTTAGTAAAAGGAAAAAAAACCTCCATTTTCACAAAGTGAATGCAAGAAGTCATGCACAGTCTCCAAAAATACAGGAAAACCTTACAAGCGGAAGTTTTGATTTGTGCAAGACACATGGGAAAACATTTTGGATTAGAAATGGCTATGCTCATCTTGATGCTTTTACAAAAGTAAAACTCTTAAATGTTTAAAATCGCAGGTGCAGAATCTGAAAATATACTAAATTTTAATCACAGTAAATGTTAGGCTCAAATTTGTGATTCCTCTTCTGTTAATGTAAACCATACAACAAAAGTTTCAGCACATGTGAGGATTCAGTGGTGTACTTGAGCCTAGTGCACGCTACAAGCCAGAAGCTTGTTGACCTTTCCACCAAACCAGGGGTAGGCAAGTTTGGTCCTAGAGACACTTTGTCCTGCAGAGTTTAGCTCCAACCCTAATCAAACACACCTGAACAAGCTAATCAATGTCTTCAGGATTACTAAGGCTACAGGCAAGTGAGGGTTTTTTTCAGGGTTGGAGCCAAACTGCAGGACAGCAGCTTTCTAGGCCCGAACTTGCCTACCCCTGCCCCAAAACCATTGTTGAATTAAACTGCCCCTTAAGTCTTGCACACTTCGACAAGCAAAACCGCTGCAGTTAACAATAGCCAATGAGGAATTGAAGAACCAGGGGAATTACCAGCTACTCATCTCTCATATTTTGGTTCCATTTGGTGCAAATTAATTCTCATATAGTTATTTGCATGTTTGTAGGAGATACAATTGTGGAGAATGTTTGTGTAATTGACAAGGGCCTCATTAATAAAATGTTGTGTAGAAACTGTCCTTCATTTGATCTTCATATCTTTTCTCCATTGTGCGTACGTGTTGTTCAGAGACCTAACCTCTCTTCCAGATGTGAAATCGATAAATTGCAAATGCTCTTGAAATTGTGTTCGATTTCCAAATACCTGCAGTGCTCAGACTCCAAAAGAACAAGTCTGTACGTCTGCTTAGACCCTGACGTGGCACTAAGCACTTTTCAAAGTCAAAGACTTTTTATAAATATGTTTTTATAATAATGAACTTTGGTGGTGGGGGGGTACTCTGGGTTTGAACAGCCACAAAAGACCTCCTGCTCTGCGCCTACTGACCTAATTTGTAAACATTATGGTAAGCGCGCTAGCCAGGCGGGATTTCAACTTTGTCGGCTGAAGACCCAAGCTTGGTTTGAAGACAAAAAACAAACCCATCACAATGTGTTCTCACCATTCCTGATTTCTAACACACACAGCCTTCGATGTGATCTTGCGGCTGTCAGTGCAGAAACGAAAGCTGATGCTGTCCGTGTGTTTTTCTGTCGTCTCCGGCGCGTTCATATGTAATTTGCTCTAGCTTATTTTGTCCATTAGATCGAAAAATCTGAAAAAGCCAATACATTTACCCGCCTATGTACCCTTCTATCGAAGAAGGCAGGACAGAAGTGGTTGAAAGTGGAGAGGAAAAGAGAGGTGTAAACAGGTACGTGTCTCCCTCGTCTACTTGTGATAAGATCGACCAATACCAGGTGACCTTAATACCAGGTGTAAACAGGGCCCAAGATGTATTGTGATTTGGACTTTTGGTAACATGGCCTTCTCTCACGCAATGTCAATGAAATCCACAAGACCGAATTTGGTGTTATATGATTTATAAACATCTCAATAAGCGTCTCCTTTGTGTTTGCAGTGCGACCTTGTTGTACCCATTTCCCTGAGCATGCACTGGTGCGCGCTTCTACACAACAGTCTGAACGAGCGTTACGTCACCAAACTGTGGACTCAAAGAAAGACAGTAAGGACTGCGGGTAGCATTTGAGACAAGTCTATATCATATTTGAGGTCAGGGTCATGACACCAAGGCTCGTGTTAGGGATCATGTACCTTGTTCCCAAGACATGAAAGATTATGTTCTCATTATGAAATACTTCCACCTTTAGCATTCAGTCGCGCCACTTGAACTTTCTAATAAATATTTAGTATGTTTTGCCCAACCCAAGTTCTCGTGCTGAGGTTAGATTCTTGTGTGCAGTCTCCTGAGACCCATGTTGGGATTGGGGTCCCAGCTTAGATGTGGAGACAAGAGGGAGGGGATGAGATTTTGCCTGTCGTTGTACTGACAGCGACCACTGCAAACCGCAAGGTTTCAGTTACCATCATGTGACATGCAAGAGGCAGACACAAGACTGTTTTTTAAGGCAAGGGATGGTGTAGCTTACTATATCTGATACTGAAATAGCCTCCCACCAGGTGCAACATTACACATATTCTCCGGTTACATTAACCAATACACAGTTGATAAGGTGGCCACACATGCAGAAGCAACACATTTATCGGAAATGCAGAAAAAGTGCAGATTCTTCAAGAATCTCTTAAAGAAGATCTCTCTTCTTGTCGCTCATTTTGTCTGTCCTCAGAGATTTAAAAAAAAAAAACATACAGCAGAAAGTCTTGTCTCTGTGCAAGGCGATGTCTCTATACATGTAAACATTCAGAAGTTGAGAGCTTGTACATAGCAGCAGTCAGTCAGAGAACTTCTGCTGTCACGCAGTTGTTTGCTTTTCCCCGTCTCTAAGCTGCAGAAGTAGATGATAATTGAAAGGTGTTAGAATTCACACATGCACAATTTTTATCATATCAGTTTACAATTCTGTGTGAAATACACAGGCATGCGTTATTGCTGTTAAACAGCTAAGAGGACAATTCAAGGAAAGCTATTTGCAATACTACTGGCAAGTAACGTGAAATCCAATAAAGTTTGGCATGCAAATATATGCCACAATTTCTGGACATTTTCAGGCAAGCCCAACCTTTAAAGACTCAACAGGTAGAAGTTGATAGTTTCGCCACCTTCAAGGACTCACCATTTTCCTTTGGTTACTCAGGCAAAAGGTGCAGATGGGTCGTACTGGTGGGGTTTTGAGGTTGGTGTTGCTTTGCAAGATGTTTTGATATTTTAGACACGGTTGCCCGTCCCTGCAGTCCTCCCCTAGCAGAAGCACGTTGGCCAGGTGTGAAATGTAGCTTGATGCCAATCGCAGAGTCTCGATTTTCGACAACTTCCTGTCGGCCGGCTCCGTGGGGATGAGGGTGCGTAGAGACGTGAAGGCGGTGTTGACGCTGTGTGTACGGTCTCGCTCCCGAGCATTAGCTGCCTGCCGTTGTTTACTAACCCCTGAGAGTCTACGGCCTCCTCTGTGTCTCCCCGCCTCCCTGTGGCCCCGCGTTGGGCTCCCGGTGGATTTCTCCGAACTGTCACTGCTGCTGTCGAGCTCATCAGGGTCGGAGGGTAAGCTCTGGGTATCGTGTGCAGGATGTTCATGAGTTAGCCCTCGCTCGCCTGCAGTGGACTTCATGGCGTGCAGAGGCAGACTGGTTGTTGTGGGTAGTCCATGGCATAGATGCTGGCTGCCCATGGTGCTTTAAGCTGAGTGAAAATAGCAGCCGGGGGGCAGCTGCGTCTGATCCGGTGTCCAGAGATCTTCCGTGGCCCCGTGGCACTTCAGCATGCCATTTCTTGAATGACTGATCCCTTTCTGGATTTGTCCACCACCATGTGGCTGTGGAAAAGGATGGACAGGTGGAGCTGAGGGGCACCTGTCATGGCCCAAAGAAGGAGGACGTTTGAAGATGTATAAATAAATGCACGCACTAACACATATAGGGATTTGGGTGTTTGTTCAACTTTGGGCTGTAATATTTGGGTACCGGGTCCTCTGGGTGATCTTGAGGTCAACAGTGATTTGCTCTACTTTCTCTGAGAAGACCCACCTCTGTTTTTGTCCCTTCATTCTAGTCCATTCATCTCTCGCTCCTGATATTGTTTGCTTAACATATCATGTTCTCTATGGCTTACAAATGTCTTTGCATGCTATATAATATGTATGCAATAGCTAAGCAACCTTGTTGTTTGACCCAGTGCTAAATTTAGCTCAGAAAAGTTTACAGACAGAGACTGTTGTCGTTGCCTGTAAAATTCGTATCACATGGGCTATGGGTCACTTCAGGTCCAAAAGAAGAGACACAGTTGGGACTTTACTGCACATAGGGGGCAGTGTTTCAAATCTGACAGAATGTAATTCGGAACACCTGTTTGACATGCTAGCAATGAGAAAGACTGTGAAGAAAGTTATTGGAGAGCTTTTTACTTAAATCAAGTTTTGTGTTACTATCAATGTAGCTGCAATCATTTGCTTACTTGTAGGTGTAATGAACATCAGTGTTCTGAAAGTTTACCAAAAAAAAAACCCCTACTTTGCCAGAAGGTTTGACTTACGCACCAACACAGGAAACATGTAAGTGATATTGAAACCATTTGACTAAGGGCCAGTTTACACGACACCATTTTCAACTAAAAACTTTTTATGCACTTTGGCCATTCATTTACACGACAACTGCATTTTGGGGGCCTGAAAACGCAAACTTTTGAAAACCGTTACGCCAGAGGGCGTCTCACGCAGACACGCCAAATATGCCCCACCGCGGAAGAACAATAACACACATCACTTCAGGAAATCCCTATCGGGCATCATCTCACAGAAGGATGCTCAACTGTCGATATGAGGTGAGTTGGGAGTAAAAGCATGTTATTAAATGTTGTCTTTTGTTGGATAAAAGGTTCATAAATGCTTCTCATCTTTTTCAAATGCAAGTTATAAGTGACTCAAACTCAGTGCTTTCAGATGGAGCAGCGTTTACCGAGCCATACATCAATGACAAGCTGATAATCGTAGCCTTCGCGATTTCGAAATCACGATAAGCAAAATCGGTTAAAGTGTGATTACATGGTAATTGCGATTAATCGTTCACTCGTTTTCACAGATCCGTGTGAACTTGCATCATTTAGACAACATTGTCGTCTGTACACGAAAAAATGCGAAGGAAAAACTTTTCCATTTTAGTACATCGGTGTCGCATAAATGTACCCTAAAAGTCTTTTAACCAGTAGCTGCAGTTAGTGTTAGCTTGTAGCTCACATAATTAGCACTGTATAAGGGTGCTCGCTGTTGTATGCTGTCGTCCTATTTCTCTTTAATGCCCTGTCTGACTGAACAGTCCAGGTGTGTCCATGTCTCTTGCAAGCACATACTGTGTTCCATCTAAAAATATCAGTTAGAGTTCACCATATAATGCATTGCTGCTTTTTTGTATGCTAGTTTAGGCAGTGTTTTAATTTTTGGTTTATCTATTAAGTTTAGTTACACTGTGTTATGAAAACCATTTACTTCATCATTTTTTATCTTTAGTCACATTCTATGGTTTAGTTCAGTTATCCCTGTCCTGCAGAGTTTAGCTCCAACTTGCCTCAACACACCTGCTTGGAAGTTTCTGATATGCCCAGTAAGACTATAATTAGCTGGTTCAAGTGTGTTTAATTGGGGTTGGACCTGAACTCTGCAGGACAGTGACCCTCGAAGAGCAGGATTAGACACCCCATGGTTTAGTTAGACTCAGTAGTAGGACACTAGGCTCATATTTTTATGTAAACACCACTAGATGTCAGTAGCACACCACTAGAGATCGTTATTCCAGCTTTTTAAGGCAAGAAGCACAAGTAGTGTGTACATGTTAATGTTTGAAAATTAATGGGGCGTGAAAACAAAAATAAATTCTTGTGTGCTGTTACCATATTAGAGATTTAAAGTTCTAGTGTGGAAATTGTTTTATGAGCAGTCAAATCATAATGCATGGAACTTGTCAGGCCTTCATTTATATCTAAATTCCCAATGATTTCCCTTTAGCCTTTTGGTAAGTTTGTCCAAATTAGTTAACTGATAAATCTTTACTCTTATCCATTCACATGACAACTCTGTACTAATTTGTTTAACCCACTGAGCTTTTCTTGCAGACCTAAATTACAACATTCTCCCAAAGTCCATGCGCGCATGCTAACGCAATACGAGTGCTGCATCCTCAATGAGCCGCCCGTGGCCCAAACATACGCTCCAACTGGTTTGTTGTTTATCCTGCAAGCATCGCCTCTAATCTTTAAGAGTGCCTGCTGGGATGCAAAACAAAGATACGCCATTGTAATCCTCTGAGAGTTTGCTTGGCACTTAAATTTGCAGGTGAAAGCTCCTGGTAAGTTGCAGAAACCAGGCATTGGCTTATGGCAGTGGTTTCCTGGATACCTGCCTTCGTGGAAGCAAGTGGAGCATGAAACAATTCATAGTTTCATTGAACAGTTTTGCAGCTCCAAGTTTACATACAATATGACATGGTTTACACTCGGTTCCAGTTGAGCGAAGGTGAGTGCCAATTAGCATTTTAAAGGCCTAATTTACCGTGGAGCAAGATTATAAAGCTCTGTGCACACCTTTTAAGCACCTGTTTTAAAACTCTGTTGGAAAGCGTGTGATTAGATTGCCAAATTAGAACACTTTCAAAGCCCCAACAAAAACTGCACTGTCTCTGGCAGCTTTCTCTCTATGGTTTTGGAGTGCTTTTAAATACAGGTCACCATACAAAGGATGCCCCCTCCACCTACATAAATTCACACACTTTCACTAATCTATTTTGAAACCATGCCATAAAACATAATCTAAGTGCTAAGGGCAATTGCAAATCATATCTGTGAGATGCTCGTCTACAGAAGCACCAAGAGACCATTAGCATCTAGTTATGCAGTACATTTTCATGCCCTCATCGTACAGTATGTATATTAAATAAGATAGTCTATATTAGATAAAATACTAAAATCACACTTAGACATTAAAAATTTAAACCATATTACTTCCCAATTAAGTGAAAAATTGGGTAAAATTTAAATAATTTTACTACTGTGGTTTGAGTTGGTGTTGCCATTTTTACTGTTTGTGCTAATGCTACTTGTAAAATGTTTAAGCTTTTCATTATTCCCCAATAACCCCTTCCATCATGTTAGCCTTTTGTAAAATCCAGGTCCTTAAAGTCAACATGTAACTGAAGTTGCTTTCGATCATTTCTTCCATATTGTGATGTACATATGAGTGAACAACCCGATCACACTAAATGCGTCTCTATAGCACGCAGTGTTTTTATCGTGTAATTTATACGCGAAAATGAGTTTTTACGTGCATAGGATACGCATGGTTGGTTAGGGTAGGTTTAGTAGTGGTGTGGGGTGCGTGTGTATTATACGTTTGGCTAGAATTAGTGGTGTGGGGTATGGCGAGTGGATAGTGTCACGGATAACCTACCGAAGTCGACAGTCGTGTACTTTTACGTGACAGAAGGGGTACGCCGCACCACAGACGCGTGACACCGACTTTTGACTCCAACGTCGCACCACAGCACACCGCACCACAGACGCGTGACACCAACGTCGCACCACAGCACGCCGCACCACAGACGCGTGACACCAACGCCGCACCACAGACGCGTGACACCAACGTCACACCACAGCACGCCGCACCAGAGACGCGTGACACCAACGTCACACCACAGCACGCCGCACCACAGACGCGTGACACCAACGTCACACCACAGCACGCCGCACCACAGACGCGTGACACCAACGCCGCACCACAGACGCGTGACACCAACGTCACACCACAGCACGCCGCACCAGAGACGCGTGACACCAACGTCACACCACAGCACGCCGCACCACAGACGCGTGACACCAACGTCACACCACAGCACGCCGCACCACAGCCGCGTGACACCAACGCCGCACCACAGACGCGTGACACCAACGTCACACCACAGCACGCCGCACCACAGCCGCGTGACACCAACGCCGCACCACAGACGCGTGACACCAACGTCACACCACAGCACGCCGCACCACAGACGCGTGACACCAACGCGTGACTCCAACGTCGCACCACAATAAATTAATATCTACCCCCCCCCCAGCTTTTCTTATCTTTTCTTTGTTATCTTTCTAATCAATCATTATTTTCTTGTGTTCTGATGACATTGAAAATATCATTGATACAAATTTTTGTATTGTATACAAAGTTGTGTATGTCATTAATGTCATCTCTGAATGGTTTACGAACATATATATATATATATATTCACTTTCTACTGGATATGAGGACTAATATGCAAATTATAGCCTATCAAAGTCACAACTTTTTGCACAATTATTACCAACAACTTTAAAGTTGAACAGATAAATTCATTAATTGTAATCTATAAACATAATATTCTGGACTGTGTCATTCTGAGTTTTTACTTTTGAAGGTGGAAAATAATTTTAATTAACACAGATGACCATAATGGGCGAATACACAATATGAAACTAATCACAAAATTGTTTACAGGAGAAAGTGACAAGAAAGTATTTTAATAGCCTATTTTTTTTAAGAAATCAACAATGAAAAAATATAAGACATGGAAATAGTCTTAGTCACAAAATGCAAAACAATGTAGGTTCATGTTCAAATGTTCAAAACTAGGGCTGTCAGTGTCGACTATTTTATTTATGTATTTTTTGGTCATAAAGATAGATCAGAAGTGAACAATTGCCTTTAGTATGACTTAAAACATATTACAAATGAGGCAATATAATTGGTTCAAATAAAGTAGGCCTATTAAAAGTAATTATATTGTTTTATTTGACAACTCTATTACATGAAGAAATACACTACCGTTCAAAAGTTTGGGGTCAGTGAGAATTTTATTTTTATTTTTTTGAGGAAAGAAATCAATA